TCGTCTATAGTTTAGTTTTACGCTTTGATCATTTTTATATCTAAATGGTTACTGTTGTTTTAACATAACTTAATATCACAGCTATAAAATTAAAAATAAATAAATTATATTAAGTAGATAAGCAACTAGGTTAACCCTGCTATATCTGTAGAAACTGATATGAAACATAATTTAACTGTAAACGTTAAAAACCATTTTACGAAAATTGCATTTACACAGAAAAAAGATAACTTTTATAAACAAATTATAGATTTATTTAAAGCTGGAGAGTTAGTACAATTCAGTAGTAAACCGTACTTAGAAGATTGGTATGAATTAAAAGTATACGGGGGGGGGGACAAAGGATAAAGTTTGAAAGTCGTTAAAACAGATTTAGTCTAGATAGAACTTTTCCCGACATCTAAACGTAACACAAAAAACTTTTTTTTCGCGTTTCCAATAACATTACAGCGTATAAAGTTATATAGCAACAACTAGACCTCACCGTGGGAAAAAAAATATTCCCTACTAATTTAAGCGAAAATTTTCTCGGACAAGAAAAAAATTCACACTTAAATTGAAATCGATTGAAAAAAATGTTATTATTACATTGGCATTTTTTATTGTGAATTTAATTGGTAACATTAATTCAGTATTGATTTGTTTATTTCAGCTAATTACCACCGGAAGCAATTATCAACGAGTTAAAGAGGGGCACTTCTACTTTAGGGAAAGTTGTGAAATTTTATTCGGGTGGTATTAAAAGGAGCTTTCCCTGATTAAATTTCCATAGCATCACTTAAGCGTTGATATAAAGTACGCATTGCACTGGCGTTTGATTTATTTTTTAACAATACACAACGTTTCCACATTTCACTTAGTTTTAATAAATTGTCTTCCAAAGTGAAGCGGGCTTATCGTTTTATTCTTTCCCTTCTTGCACAAATTTAAAGGTTCAATTGAGCATGGATTCCTTCATATTAAATTACGTTATACCTAAAAGAAGATCATGTTATGGGCATCGTTATGATCAGTATTGATCGATTTACAACGAGACGGTAGAAGTTTTCTTAAAATAAAATATATGTATGTAAAATACATAAATTTCTTTAAATAGAAATCGAATTTTAAGGTTCGTTTTCCCCTTATTAGTCATGTGTTATTGTTTTTGGTTGATAAATTATTAAAATTTCTAAATGTTTTGTAATAGACAGTGTATAAATAATAGTTTCCTTATAATTAAGGACTTTTAACGGGGAATCTATGTTGACTCCAGATCTTTCGGTTTCAATATGATATTCGGAACATAGCTTCTACCCCTTTTCACTATGCCGAAACAGTTCTTCCGTAAGTCGTACCATTATCTATTCAGTATACACTGCAGACATTCCTATCAATCCAGATATTTATCACATACGCCGGCGATACGGCCATCCTTTCAGCATACTGAGAACCAATAATGACATTCAGAATCCACCAGAACTATTCTTCTGTTAAAAAATGATTAACAAATGAAGGATCAGACTCAACGGAACCAAATCATAGTAAATAAACTTAACCCTTCGAGGCATCACCTATCCACCAATCTAACATACCTCTGTCTTCTCCTGCTACCAGTATCGAGAGGCATTCTAAAAACGTCCACACTCGAATAATAGTAATTGAACTGAATGTAAACTACTCAAAAGACGACTTGAAAACAGGTCAATACAGTCACGACGAAAAACAAAAAGCCTTGGTGACACATCACTGCCACAACTAATCAACCGAATTGGACTGTGGGGTTCAACCAAGCGTTCCAACATCTAAAGAATCCAGTCAATCCAGTCCAAAATCCTTCGAACCATTACATATCGTATCTAACCTACTATCCACACAAATCGCTTGTAACTGTTTAGAACTGCTGAAACGTGATAATACAAAAATGTCGGTAAAAATATAGAACAATGAAATAAATTGCTGAATTCCATTTTTGTATATTTATATTTATAAATTCGGATCGACCGCTCTGAAGGGTCTACCCCCATTTATAAAGGTATTTAGTATCGGTTTCCTTTAGATGCTTGTCTTTTTTGGTGGAGGGGCGGGTTGAAAATCGTGTTAAATATCTTAACAGGGGATTTATCCATCCATCCGCACACCTCAATGCTTTTGACAAGGTTCGCCGGAAAATGTCAAATGATTTTCTCCGCTTGAAGTCGTTCGATACACAAAATTTATATATAAAAACTAAGTGGGATAAAATGTAATAAGGCCGACCAATTCTGCCGTCGAAAGTCACTTCTGGGTACAAAATATGCGATTATTAGGTATTATTTTAATTGCAATATTAATTATAAAAGCAAAACTATAATATTCTGTATTTAAGAACTGTACACTATTTTCTTGAAAATATCCTTGTTTAGAATTGAAATAGGACGTATTTATTTTGTTCAGAGACATATATTAAACGGGTTAAATTAAATTGCAGGATTTAATGGAATGAAGATTTCACTCGGAGAATCCAAGTAAATCACACACACACACACGCACACACACACACACACACGCACGCACAGAGAGAGAGAGAGAGAGAGAGAGAGAGAGAGAGAGAGAGAGAGAGAGAGAGAGAGAGAGAGAGAGAGGGAGAGAGAGACAGACAGACAGACACTAATATTCAAAAATTCAATACCTATCTTCAAATACTTATTACATCTCCCAAGGGAAGTAATCTCTTGTGTTAAACCGAAATCAACAAAATGGCTTATCATGTGTTTGTTTAAACAACAATCGATTTTAAATATTAGAATACATACTTTAGAAATGTACGAAATTAGATTTCGGAGGCTCAAGAATGACAGGTTTCAGGCAGTAAAAATCCAAATTTACATCTGGTAAAGTTTTCAATTTGACTAACAAATTCATCCCAGAGTAAATGTTTTAATTATCCTGATTGAATATAGATTTCTTTTGTTAACGGTAAATTCAGATTGTCAGTTGCAGTCACCGAAACGACAAAATTATCGGTCAGAAGAGGAATTTTACATTTTTGTTTCTAAAAACTTCGAACTTTTTTCGAATTTGTGTTGAAACATTTTGAAAGTGTTACTTTAATTATGTTGAAAGGACGTTTTAAACTAGTTGTACGTCTGCGCTTTGGAGCTTGTTTATGTAATAAATTTGGTGATGTACCTAAATTTATTTGTTGTTCTTTTGTCAGGTTCAAAAATGGGTTTGTCATCAATTGAAAGGAACACGAATAATATTTTCTTTATCGATTTATTCGATTTTCTATAACTATAGTTATTTATTTGGGTAAAATAATTTTATTTTCAAAAGAATACGCATGTTAAGCACAACGCAAAAGGTCGGCAGTTGCTCCATATCCATGTTAAAAATTAATGATATTTACCCTCTAACACTCATTTGTAAAGAATTTTTGATATAGCCTACAATCACGCGAATGGGGCAGAAAACAACAAAACAACTCGGGGAAATTTTAAAAGCCGGGTCTAGTGTTTGTTGCCGGGTCAGCACCAAACGTAGTAAATATTTAAGTGGTTCTATTCGTATTTGGAGAGTTGCCAATGACGAGGAATGACAGCAATACGCCAATGTCAGCTTTATTAATTATCCTCTTGTAGTGCTATGGTTCTATTGATAACTCGTGAGTTATTGGCACCCGACCGCGGACTGCCCTTTTGTTTGAACAAATATTAAGTTGGTGTTCGGAGTTTTGGCCAGTACAGGACCGGCTGCCCCCTTGACTCCCCTAAACGAATACACAATTGTCCCCGCATAAATAACAAATATAATTGTGGGGAAAGTCGATAAATATATGAAGAGGACGAAATTCTCAGGAAAACGAGACATCTTAAAATTAACAACGTATGTCATTTACAATGTTCTTTTTAGTTATTTTGATTAAAAAAAAATTACCATCATAAATATAACATTTTATATGCATTATGACAAATTAAAAAGAAATAAATGTATAAATCTAGCAACTATAAAATTCTAATTGTCTATAGAATGGATATTTTAGATACATAAAATACTTTTTCTTATGGAAGACCTGTGTCGGCATAGTGAAAAGGGTGAAAAGGATGTTCCGATTTCCTTCTTTTCAGAGGAAATGTATTAGCCAAGGAGGGGATAGAAAGGAAGAGATCGAAAAAATTATTTTACTTTAATAACACTTTAGCACGAGAAAAAAAACGACTAGTTTTTGCCTTTGCATAACAGTGTTCTGCTTGTATTACTGGTCTTGTTACCCGAGTATTTTTCATTTATAGCGTCTGTCGTTTTGTAGTAGAGAATGGTGACCAGGGTCACCTAGAAGAGGATTAGGATGGATCTATAATACATGGAGTTTTGAAGGAGAATAAAAATTATTGATTATATTCTTACAAATGAATGCTATCTTCAGAGTAGGAACGAAAACACCCAAAGAAAAAATCGTATCGTAGACCATTATCAGTTTTTAAAATTATTATGAACAATATGTTACAAAATGCGTTATGGGATTGAAATAAAGTATTAATAAAAATTGAAATACCATCGAGTTAGAGGTAAGTAGCTCTAACTGAACTAGTCCATAAACTTTCTATTGCTTTTGTTTGACTGGGTTTTTCAATCAAAATCAAACAAAATTGCTTACTGGCCCTTTGGAGTTTAATTTTCAACCAGTGAAATAAACTATTTTACAATTAATGATTAATAAATACTTAATTAGGACTAATTTAAAATCATAAATTGCCGTTAGGCACAATTGAGATAAGACATTTTAATTCTAACTTTTTCCGATACTTCAGATTATGTCTCTTTAACTTCAAATTAACCCTTTTTATCTTCAAATTTTTTTTTGCTTTCAAATTAGCCCGGTTTTTAAAGCATCAAAAATGTTAGGACATGGTATTAAAGTCAACATAAGTAATAAGTAAGTGTTTTGTTACCACAAATTTGACAAAATTCAATACTCTATTTGAGTAAGTCCGGTAATTTCTTTCTTCCTACATGTACATATTTTAAAAATCACTCACCTATTACGGTTAGATTAATTTTTGAGTTTCTAGTGGGTGAGTTTCTGAAGTCAACTCTGCAGCGATAAATTCCTTCGTCTTCAATCCTCAAATCGTCCACCTTCAGCTGGGCGATGTCCGTAGCCGTCCTGAAGAAAGCACGATCGCCAAAGGCGGTCGGCGAAGACCACTGTTTCGCCTGGCCGTACTGTCGACCTCGGACATCAAAGCTAAAATAAAAAGGAAACACTATTAACACGATTGAACAGATGTGACAACTTAGAAGTTAGACTAGATTTTTGTCGTCAGCCGTTTAAATTTTTTGCCACTTCTGAGAGCTTCAGAAAGATTCTCTATGTCTGGAGAAAGTGAAGGCAAACAGTAAAAATTAATTTTGGCTATGTATTGTACGAATTACAATGTATATACGTAATATTTCAAGGTTATATAAAGCTAATATATTATTGATAATAGGGTATTTAGGACTTAAATTTAGCATTCTATACAAAATAACTCGAATTGCTAGAAATATATATTTTTTTATTAAACACTAATTTAAGTACAGAATTTTTATTTTCCAGGATTTCATTTCAATGTTTAATTAATCAAAATAATTTTTAACAATATACTGTTACCAGCTGCAATAAACGTTGAAAGTAGATAAACACGAACATGAAAGGCCTGCGCTATTGTACGAACAAAGGCAACAGTGAGAATCGTATTAAAACGGGGCAGTTCTGGTTTCACTGGGACGCCGAGTTTTGGAAATGCTTTATGCTAGGACCATTATATTATCATAAAAGGAACGATATTAGAAAGGATGAAAATTCAAAAACCTAATATTTCTTTTATATAGTCTACAATAATTGAATATTGCATTTCGTGGAAAGCTTTTTTTTGGGGGGGGGTTGAATTTATATATTTATAATTAATTTCATTATCTATGACAATATTTAACTACGAGTAAAATTGATTAATATTATAATTAGTAATAAAGAAAGCATAATAACATCGTTAGGGTTAATCCCATTATCAACGAACTGAAAATTAATATAATCAATCGAACTAATGGCTGCTGAGATTACATGAATCTCCTGATGGTAAACTAATCACGCTATTATCTTCGGGATCTTAGGGTTATCGGGGATTACGATGTATAGCGATTAATACGAACAAGCGATGTCGATTCGTTACCATTATGCCGTTGAAAAATTATTTTCCATAATAATTATGAAAAGATTGTATAAATAAATCTCTTGTTTTTCCCAATGTTTGAATTGGTCTTTAATCTTCCTTATTTTCCGATTCAATTGGCATTAAAAGTAGGCCGTAAAATAATTTAATTTTAATTTATTTTTTCATGAAAAAAATTAGGTGAGAATACCATTGTTAATTGTTTTAAGGGTGGAAGAGCCGTTACTTATTAAATTAAGAAAGAACAAAGAATCGCCTTCGTTAATGAAACCCCACTGTCTAGATACAAGCAACAATATTCATTGTAAAGTCCCTGATGAGTTTATTGATTTTCGCTTGAGGCAAAATCCTAAACTGCACGTAATACCTCGGGGACGAACGATAAAGCTTATACACCGATATTGCCTCTTTTTTCCATTTTTTTACATGTGGAAAAATATGGTTTATTTTAGTTTTCAAGAAAAACCATTAACATATATACGAAATGTTTGTTTTTCAAATATATTGTTATTATTATATTAAAAATTCTTTGTTTGTCTAAAATGGAAGAGTGGAAGGAAAATGACATTGAGCCGTGACTGGAATTTAAGGCGAGAATGACAACTCCTAATTAAACAAAGTGGAACAAAAGCCGACAATTAACTCTAACAACCAAACAGCTGTTTGCTCAAACAAGCAACGTGATACATCCCAAGCCATAACATATTTAATTTGCGCAATTTTTTGAAAAAAAAAAAAGAAAGAATACAACAAAAAAAGGAAGAATTTCAATGTAGGCATTTGTCAGAATCTTTCTACTAGAAAACTATTCACAGAAACAAAATATTTCAATCGGCTTGAACTGACAATTCGTCATTAATGTTCTATTTTTCCCTATCCGACTCTAAAAACAACCTTTAAAATAATGAATTTTTTGTGGAAACAACCGTCGAAATATGAGTTCATTTTGTTTTACTGTTGTTGGCTAGGCAAAGTTTACCTGTGGATAACACGAAGAAATCCGGTCGCTGTACAGAGAAGTACGTTACTGAGCGACTGTTCTGAAAGAATTCAAAGTTTCTGTAAAGCTGAAGACAACGAACAACAATAATCCGTGTTAATTCAAGGCATAGTGGGTAAGAGATACTGAACATGGAAGTGAAGTTTCTACTCGTTAACTTAAACGAATTAAAGATTTATCTTTTTTAGATTACGTGCCATTTAGGTTCAATAAAAATTTAATAGAATATAATAAACAAGGTAGAGTACGATATATCGTACCTCGTGTGAACTGCTTTGTTGGCTCTAAAAAACAGTTTCTCAATTGATCATCTCGTCGTGCTTTGGTTCGAAAAAATACGCTGTTAGTTCGTTTCGGAAATCAGGCAGAAGTCTTGAAGTTGTAAAAAAAATAAATAAACAAAAAAAAGTGTTTACTTTTTGAAATTCAATTCATCAGAATCGAAAGGGAAAGCTTGGAAAATCGCGCGCTTAATTTTAAATCGATGAATGACAATATTTTAGGATAGACTTTTTCGAAGGATCGAAAAATGTCTATACTGTCTCTAGTCAGAAAAGATAAAAGTATCCAACACGGACATGCACAGCGTCGATGGGCCGGGTCGACAGAGAAGCTTTTTACGTCGCCGTCGATAGCTGGCACACGGAGGATCTTAGTCGACGGAGATGAGTCAACCTTCTAGATTAAGGATAAGCCATGCGTGGTTGTTACACGGACACTTACTTTTGAGCAAGACCCCGTACTTGTCCAGCATGAAGAGAAAGGTTGCCTCACCAAATTGAACGATGCAACACCTTCGCTCCATTCAGACAGCGAAGAAATTCCACCCTACATGAGTATCGTGCTTGTGTACGGCAGCGAGTAAATTGGTCTCTGTTCGGGTTTTTAAACGTAAAAGCTTTATTGTATCTGTATCGTTTTATCGTATCTGGTACTGAGAGTTTTGTGTACCTAGATCGTGTCGAGAGTGAATGTGTCATCATCCGTCTGCCCTCAATTAGGTCACATATATAATAGATGTAAAGTATTATGTGGAATACCGAGTACTCCACCACCCTAACTGAGTAAATGATATGTAAATAGGAATGCAAGTATTTAAGAGTCAGTGAGTGTGTGAACGGGTTTTGATATGGAACTTATTCGTTGGATACTGAAATGACTAAACTGTTGACAGCCCCTGGAGCCCCATCATCATCCAACAATACAGTATTATTACAAAAAACAACATTTTGGGGCAAATCGTAAGTGCTGATCAGGAACCAAGGTAATAACACAAACATTGGTGAAATAAAAAAAAAATATATATATATCTATTTTTATTGATTTTTATTCTANAAACAATATCATTTGGAAGAGGATTAATAAGTGTTGACATTCATACAAATGAGTAATCCTGTAAACGTAAACAGAATATTTTATATAGATTTTTTTAAATGAAAACTTAAAATCCTGCATTATTTTCCGGACAACCCAATATAAAGGTGTAATAATAGTCAAGTTAATAGTACAATGTGTCGTCGGGTTGTCACCCGAATCAGTTCGTTTTGGGTAGGTATGTCGAATTAAATATCTTGAATATTTACATGAATGTATATAAAACCAGATAGCGAATTGATTACTAGCCACGATAAAATTGTATAAGTCAAATTTTGGCAAAATGAAATTAGTGCAAATTCCAGTAAGCTTCTAGGCCTAACAAACTTTATAATTGATACAGCCGAAAAGGAAACCATCAACTTTAACGCACTGTGTTTTTTTAGAAGTTACGCCAACATTTCAATAATTCTACTGGACTATTTCCAAAATCTCATAAACTCATTAACGTAATTCATGTGCCGACTACATAGAATTTGATGCAATGTGATTAAAAAATACTAATTTGTACGAAAAGTCTAAACTTTAAAATCACAAATATGAAAAGCTGTGTTTTTGGTTTTTTTTACTTATCTAGTCCCCGAGAGTGCATAAATTTTTTTATCTAATATTCAACTCCCTTGGAACAGTTATTTTATTGAAAGATGTAATAAAACTTAGCTATGCTAACAATAATTAATACGCAGTAATACAATGCAGGGAAAAATTCTGGGCTGCTGATATTCGGACCCGAATTTGTCACTTACAAAGGTTGAACCCTTATCAAAAATATTGCGGTGTGTGATTTTTTGGAAAAACCTAACAATCCGAATGTTCCATGCATAGACTTTTTATTAAGTTGAAGGATTTATATTATTTGAAGATTTTTATCGGTTAATGATTTTTTTCATAAAATGATAGCAGGGTTTGAGAAAATAACGATAACTGATGGCACGCTTGACATTAAAATTAAAAATGCTAATAGTTTTGGTAAATTAAGTTTAAAAAATGTAGAATATACATATTTATTTCCAAAACTGCATAAATAGCGACTGGGTAGTCGGTGGTGGTTGTCTGGTTTTCGGCCAAAGCTGGCATATGCGTCCGGCAAGTACAGAATGCTTGGTGTGCGCCTCATAATATTGGAGATTGTCATTTCTTGGCTCCTTATAGAGAGCGTTTACGAATGCCACCAGACTCGAGAATTGTGCTTGAGCACGACTGCGTTTATTTTTAATTCCTCTGGTTCAATTTTTGGAGAATTCAGGACTGTTTTATTATATAATGCTTGATATTTTTCTACATTTTCGTTTTGGGATTGAATGTATTTATTCCCATGAATGTCTAATGTGAGAAGGTCAATGGTGAATTATTAACTATCCCATTGAACCACAACTAGATTAATTACATAATATTTTTAAAAGGTGAAATAATGATATGTAAATAAGAAATATTCTATTTAAGAATGAATGAGGTATGTCTAAGCTTAAAAACGGCGTTTTTTGACTGAAATTCCCTTACACTTTTTGACTATTTGACAAACAGAAAAAAATTATGTGTTAAAATGCCGCTTTAACAGACTATAACTGTTTTCCTATTGATCCAATTCAACTAAAATTATTTATTCTTAACGCATAGAACTTTGTCTTGGACCTAGTACGGAGAAGCACTATAACATATACA